CCGTACTTTGCATTGCTATCCAATGGGAGCTACAGGGTTAAGTCTGCTCCTGGGGCAGCGCAGGAGACATGAGGTGTGTGTGTCACCTGCTGTCCGGGATAGACTTAATGGATCATTAAAGGACTGGCTGAGGCTGATCCGTATCAGTGGAAAATCTGAGAAGACAATGGGAAACCTTCATTCACACCTAGCAACCAATGACCAAGAGGAAGGAGGTTCCCCCACACACCCCCTCAGCAGGGAAGAAGGACAGAGAGGTACCAGGCAGGGAATAAAGAGTCACTTTTGGGAGAGGCTGGGCTGCTCGTCCTGTGGACGGGCAAAGGGACTGAGAGCATGAAATGAAGTCTGGAGCAGCATGGCTGGTGGATTGCTCTGGCCTGGCCAGATGGACTATGTCTTAACCTTGATTTCTCTGTGCTAACCTAAGGGCTCCCAGTGCTGCGTTCCAGATGACTAATAAACCCTACTCTGTTTAGAAAATGCTGCCTGGTGTCGCTGCAAATACCTGCTGAAGTGCAGTAGTCCTTGAAGAGCATATAGAGTGTATCTCAATAGGACTTGCTGGACACAGCTCATGGTCTGAAACAGCAGTGCTGGAGCCCAGGGGCTCGGTCTTGGAGGTGGTGAGGCTGTGTGGCCAACCCTGAAGGAGGAGTGGGATCCTTTGGGCTGAAGAGGTTCCTCCAAGAGACTGTTTAAAAGCTGGGTCATGTGGATCCTTGGCAATATCCTCCATCTCCTCTGCCATGGCACCCCTGCCCCTAAGCTAAACCCCAATGAACATTTCTGGAGCAAGAATCACTCTGCCAACCCAGAACGGCTCCACGCTCCTGGCAGCAAGAGATTCTGGGCTGCAGGATGTAATCAGCCTGATCTCAGAAATGATTCCCCCACATCTGGGATGACCTCTCCAGACATAGACATTGGAGCAATAACATAACATCCTCCCTCCGAGTTTGGACCATCCCTCAGCTGGAAGTCCTAGAAACACTGCAGAAAATCCATGCACCACCTATGATTGATCCTTCTCCTTGGCTAGTGAAAGCATGGAGAGCTCATGGGGCCCCTTCCAACTGAGACTGACAGCACCTCCTTTAAGCATGTCCTAGTCCAGCCAGAACTTGGGAAACACTCCATGCTGCCCGCGTTTCCTGCACCACCCACTAGCTGTGCTTTCACTTCTGAGGAGGCTAAGTGAGAAGCTCATCAAGGCTCTCTGTTAACTCCACCTGGATACTTCCAATACTCTGGGCCTTCCCAATCACGCTTCAGGTCAGGAGAAAGAACAGAAATGGCCATGAACACGAGCCATATATCCATTCTCATAGTGCAGGATCTCTTCATGTCATTCAGTGTCAGGCCTGGTCTACACTACGACTTTAATTCGGATTTAGCTGCGTTAATCCGAATTAACCCTTCACCCGTCCACACTACAGAGCCAGTTAATTCGAATTAAAGGGCACTTAAAATCGATTTCTGTACTCCACCTCGACGAGCGGAGTAGCGCCTAAATCGATTTTGTTAATTCGAATTAGGGTTAGTGTGGCCGCACACCACCGAATTACTGTGGTTAAAGTAATGGGGTAGTGTGGCCGCACACCACCGAATTAATGTGGTTAAAAACCGAATTAATGTGCTTAGTGTGGCCGCGCACAATCAAATTTATACAACCTGTTTCCCAAATTCGAATTATCTAAATTCGGATTAATCCTGTAGTGTAGACATACCCTTAATCAATGAAATGCTGATGTCCTGCCTTGGGGGCATAAGCTGAGGTTTGTGGGAAGGCACTGAGGTAGCTACAATCATTCTGCTTGGACCAGAGCCAGAGAGCTGTGATGGGCACCAGCTTCTCTGCCTCCCCTGTAAAGTTCCACAGTGATCCATCCTCTCTCCCATCCTGCTTAACCGCTGTAGGAGGCAGCTAGGAAAGATTATGTCAATTAAGTTTCTCTGTTGTGCTCCTGGGCACAGGAACTGGGGATTGTGAATCCCTTGGGCTCAAATGCCAGCACTACACACACAACATGAAGCACGGCGCTTTCCAGCTAATGTGAACGGCACCCTCTCCCAGATCTCTCAATGCTTGGAGGACCTCAGCACTTAGACAAAAAGCAGCGGGCTCAAGCCAAACCCAGCCAAGCTGGAGGTAATGTTGGTAAGGAGATGGGAGCTTTGCAAAGGACTAGCCACTACCGTGAAGTCATTCTCATTGAGGGCATGCTCACTAAGGAAGGTCATTGCCTAAAGAAACCAGGAGGACCACCACCCTCCTTCAGATCTAAGTGGGACTGTCAGACTCATTTCCATGATCTCATCTTCCCACAACAAGTCATGCAGACCAAAGGGGAAATGGGGAGACGTATACAGAAACCTTTCCCTGTACTGGCTTTTCAAACGTGCAACGTGACTCAAACTCCAATGCAAAGAGCGCAGGACAAATGCCCAGAGAGATTGTGCTTGGGACAGTGCCCAAAGAATTAAAATATAATCACAGCCCAAAACAAAAACTAAACACATAATTACAAGATAGTAAACGACTGAAAACACAAATAAAAAGGACCAGTCTTGGCTGATGTATTGACGTGGGGAGAGAGGCTGGAGAAGACACTTCAGATGAAGCAAGTTCAGTAGCCGATGGCTCCACAGTGCATAGACTGGGGAGGGTTTTCAAAATAAACTCCTCTAAATAAACATTACAGCCCTCAATGAGCCCCAGAGCCAGCACTACTCACCTTCCACTGCTCAGCCTTTCTTTCCTTCTCCTGCTCGCCCCTTCAGAGCTGCAGGGTGCTCGGCAAGAGATCAAACCTTGAGGGGTCTTATTCAGCTTGTGACTGACAGAAAGGTTCAGTCCCCTCAGGCGGGCAGAATCCAGCTAACTGTGACAAATGATGGACACACAGCTTCCACAGCAGCAAAGCAAGAGCGCCCTGTCACACCTACTTCTTTCCCTTTTCTTTAAGTCCTACTGAGAGCTTTCCCCCTTGTTTTCTTAAACCTGGCCCACAAACGTACAGAAAGATGAGACCCACCACAGCCCACAGACATGGAGAGAACAAGTACTAAGAACAAGAGCCTACCTATCTTCCCGCACCAATCCATGGTGCTTACCTCATGCTAACACCCTACCACACCCCATGTTCCACTCCCCCTGAGCTCACTGAAAATCAGGTGTAAACACACACATCATATGACTGAATAGCCAGCCGCGGAAAGCTCCACACTTGATAAGAGAGATTCAGATGGTTACTTCAGTCAGCATATGGCTTCCAAGGAAGTCCTTTAGGACAGTGGTTCTCAGTCAGGGGTACACGTACCATTGGGGGTACACAGAGATCTTCCCCGGGGTATGTCAACTCCTCTAGAGAGTTGCCTAGTTTTACAACAGGCTACATAAAAAGCACTAACGAAGTCAGTACAAACTAAAATTTCATACAGACAATGGGTCGTTTATACTGTTTTATATCAGTGTTTCTCAACCTGGGGGTCGCGATTTATTTCATAATCATATGGTAAACATGAGAAAGTCGGCAATTTTTCAGTACTAGTGTGGTTGTGACACTTCTGTACTTTTATGTCTGATTTTGTAAGCATGTAGTTTTTAAATGAGGTGAAACTTGGGGTACACAAGACAAATCAGCCTCCTGAAAGGGATACAGTCGTCTAGAACGGTTAAGTACCATTGGTTTCGGGGTTTTACATGGATCCAGTCCAACTGGCAGAGTTGATGGAAACATTTTTTCAATGAAAAAAACATTTTCACTTGGATTGAAATTTTCTGGTTTTTCTACAAAAACAGAAACCTTTTTTTTTTTCAATTTTTGGTCCCATATTTAACCAAAAATTGAAACTTTTACTGAAAACAGTTTAGAAAACCTAAACATTTTCATGGGAATTTTTTTTTGGGAGGGGGGGAACTTTTATGGTAGTTAATGAGAATATTTTGGATGGCATATTAAACCTCATGCTTCAGGGTTTAAACCACTTTCTAACAAAAAAGGATTAGGAGACTCAATGTGTGGGTCAGATTATCCCATATCTGCTACTGGGTGGTTCTTCCAACATCCTCTGAAGCAGATAGTTCTGGCCACTGTCAGAGGAGAGGGACTGCTTTGCTCTGATCCGGTCTTGCAATTGCTAGGTTTCTGTGTGACCTTCAGTGAATCATTTGGGTCTCTCTGTAAAATGGGTTGATGATAATATTTCCCTTCCACGGGGCTGTTCTAGGGATAGAGTGTGTTAATGTTTGTGAAGTGCTCAGATACAACAGTGCGGGGGCGAGATAGAGCGAACAGAACTAGGGCTCGCCACCAACACCTCTCCCGCAGTTTGGTGGTGCAGGGCTAGCTTCTCCTTTCCTACAGACTCATGCTGCGAAGTGTTTGATCCTGTCACAGTGTGCAGGAGGCTGCGGGGAGGAGTGAGGACGGGGGTCGAGCACCACCCGGCACATTGGAAAGTTGGCCCCTGCGGCTGGAGCACCCATGGAAAAAAAATTAGCGGGTGCTTAACACCCACTGGCAGCCAACTCCCCCAGCACCCTTGCCTGCCCCATGGAGCCTGCCCCACAGCCCCACTGGGGCGCCTCCCCCCGCAGGGCAGGATACGGCTGGGTGCAGGGGGCCCCAGGGCCGCCCACAGCACCTGGCAGGGCAGGTCTGCCCCCCCCGTGGCACTGCTCACTCTGGCTGGCGGTGGAGGGGCGCTAAGGAAACTACATGTCCCAGCATGCCTCACTTCATCGGTGGGCGGTGGCGCTTACGTCTCAACGCTTCCTCTGTGTGATTGGTTGAGACTGGTGATGCGCCGATCTTTGATTGGCTGCTGGGGAGCCGGGTGTCCTGAGCCTCAGAAGACCGGGCACGTGCTTGGGCGGGGTGGTGGGAGGGGCAGGGTTCTCGGAGCGCGATTGGCTGGAGCCAGACGGGCGGGCTCGGCTTGGAGCGCGTGGGGCGGGGCTCGGTGCAGCCGGCGGCGCGAGGCGGCGGCGGGAGATGGCGGGGCGCGGCCGGGGCTGGCCGCGGGAGCAGCTCAACGGGCTGCAGGCGCGGGCCGGGGGCGGCGCGGTGAGGCGGGGCTGGGGCCCCTCAGCCGGCCCGGCTCGGCTCGGCTCGGCTCGGCTCGGCTCGGCTCGGCGCCCCCTGCTGGCGGCGAAGTGACTCCGGTTCCCAGCGCCGTGGGGTCCGGCCGCAGGGCGCTGTGCCCGGTTCGCGGCCCGGGGCCCCGAGTCCCAGGCCGGGCCCTGCTGGCGGGTGTTTCAGCTCCGCCCCGGGTGCCCCTGGCGGGGCTGGAACCCGCGGCGAGCCAGCCCGTGCGGCTGCCCGTGTCGGCCGGGGTGGGACGCGGGGTTATTCCCCCGTCTCTCCCCCGCGGGGCCCAGCCCGTTGTAATAACCGCACCACAGGAGTGGTGCCAAAGTGCTAGTGCCCGGGCCGAAGTGTTCACAGCCCATCGGTGTGGCTGGGCCGCTGGGCCGGGATCTGGGGCGACTCCGGTGCTTGGCAGCCGGGACCGAACTCCCAGGGCGCCCCTCCAACGCCAGCCCCAGAGAGTCCGGGGGCAATGGCTGGGGTTAAAGTTAAGAGTCTAAGTACCGCATTTAATCTTAATGCTGCAATCAGCTAGTCTGCATTATACACCCTGCACCTTAGACATTTAATATCTGGGGTTTGCCTTCAATTTTAGGCCGTGAATAAAGTTTGTTGCCGCGTGAGAAATCCACGAACGTCACCGCTGCGTGACCTCTGCCCGTGGTCTGGAGCATGAGATGCTTCCGTCCCAGTACAGCTGTGAGGCAGGATTGTGCATATCCTGCAGTATTTCAGCACAGTGCTTAGGGTCCTTCAGAGCGGAGACCCTCTAACTAGTTACAGCTGCGACAGCTTCATTTAATAATGTAGACGCCATCAGTTTTGAACAATGCACTAAGTGGCCTCATTCTTTTTCCACCATTCATAGTCTCCTTACCAGCGGTTGGGCCAACGCATGCAGGATATTACTGGTGATCGAGGGGTGTTAAAGGAGGTTATCCGTGCTGGCGCTGGAGAAATTGTGCCCCAGGATGCTTCTGTGTTAGGTAAAACCGGTCTCGTTGGAGGCCTTTTACTGGGGTTATCTACCAAAGAGCATGTCTGTGTTTGTTTTTGTTTTTATACTAAGTGAATGTTTCTGCCCACGTCCACTTTACAACTTTGACTTTTGCTTAGTGGCTGGTATTCTAGACCAGTGGTTTTCAACCTGTGGTGTACGGACAGACCCAACGTCTGCAGGCTGTGCCTAAGATTTCCAAAGGGGTCTGCACCTCCATTTGAAATTTTTTAGGGATCCACAGTGAAAAAAGGTTGAAAACCACTGTTGTAGACCACTGGTTCTCAGCCTTTTTGGGCTCAGGACCCATCTGTAATTGTTGATGGCCTGTCGCAATACAGTAAATAGGCTGGTGGGGGGTGTTGGATCCTGCCCCAAGGGGAAGCCCTGGGGGTGGGTTCCAGAGCCTACCTCGCATTCATCCTGCAGTGGTGGCTCCTGCAGCTCTGGTGCCACAGGGCTGGCTGGGTTCGGCTCCCTGCTTTGGACGTTGCAACCTCCAGGGTTGCAGTGCCACTCAGGTGTGGCCCTGGCTGGCTGGGCCACGTTTGTGGGAGTGGTGTTGCAACCTGGTACATGGGGTTGTAGTGCCACTCAAACTTGTCCCGGCCAGTCTCCTATTATGATGGAGGGGCATCTGGGTCAAACCAGAGTGGCACTGCAACCCCAGAGTTGGCAATGCCCAGAGCGGGGAGCTGAGCAGCCCCAGGGGACCAAAGCCACAAGAGTTGCCGCATGACTCTTTGAAATGTTCTGGTAACCAATTTTGGGTTGCAGCCCACGGGTTGAGAAATCTTGTCCTAGCCCTAGGTGACTGTGCTTCTCTGCCACACATGTGAATAAGTGGAGGTAGTTGGTGATGCATCAGGTTTGTTCTAGGATTCTCTAGGCCCCTTCATGTCTCTGAACACTTACAATATACAAATCTGAATTCAGTTTTATCGCAGACTCCCAGGAGATGCCAAAGATCTAGACTGTTCTCAGTGGTACCTGATGACAGAACAAGGAGTAATGGTCTCAAGTTGCAGTTGGGGAGGTTTAGGTTGTAATTTGCTATAGAGAGCAATATGCCCTGCCGTATGTGCTTGATTTTTATTTAAGAATGTCTTGTTCAGGACTGCTGGTTTAGGCTGTTCTTAAGCTGCTTACTTCAAAAAATCAGTCTCAGTAAAATATGGGTTGTATTGCTTAAGGAAATCTGTAAAAGGAATCCCACCTCTTTTGTGAAAGCTGTAGGTTTCAATTAGGTTCATGTTCAGTCAGCTGATCCCAGCCCTGCAATGAGATCTGCACATGTTGGTCTCACTCTCATTGCAGGATCTGTACTTTTGGCGAGTATTTGTGGCTGTCCAGAAGTACTACACTTGTGAACCTGAGATGACTACTCTTTATAAAGTACATTGTGGAAGAGTTTAGGCTCAAATTTGACTGAAAGTTGACGTTTATTGGCTGGAGAGTATCTTCTAGTATTGCTTGTAGCTTTTGTTTGCTGTCCCAGAAGCTGACAATCAGAGGGAGTTACAAGTTAACAGGTTCTGTTCCAAGTGCTGTCATCAAAATGCGGTGTACAATAGATTAAATGAAGAGGCATGTTGATTTTTAAGAAACGCAGGAAGCATTTCACTGCTAGATTGAGCCTAGATCAGTATTGGCTGAAAGCTGTTTCAGTTTGATGGTGGTTTGCCTTTTGTGACATGACTCATAGATTGAAAACCAGAGGGGACCATCCTGATCATCAAGTCTGACCTCGTGCACATTGCAGGCTACAGAACCTCACCCACCCGCCCCTGTAATAGACCCATAAACTCTGGCTGAGTTACTGAAGTCCTCAAATCATGACTAAAGACTTCAGGTTACAGAGAACCCACCATTTGCATTAGTTTAAACCTCCAAGTGACCCAAGCCCCACGCTGCAGAAGAAGGCAAGAACCCCCCAGGGTCTCTGCCAATCTGACCCATGGGAAAATTCCTTCCCGACCCCAAATATGGCGATCCGTTAGACCCTGAGCATGTAGGTGAGACCCACCAGCCAGACACCTGGGAAAGAATTCTCTGTGGTAACTCAGAGCCTCCCCATCTAGTGTCCCATCACCGGACATTGGAGATATTTGTTTTAGCAGTCACAGATCAGCTGTGTGCCATTGTAGGCAGTCTCCTTAGATGATCTCCTCCATACATTTATTAAACTAAGGGCATGTCTTCACGTCAGCGCTTTAACGTGGCTGTGTAGTCGCGGCTCTCCCAGTTCTATAAAAAACCCACCTCCGCCAGTGCTGGTGCAGGACTCTTTTTTGAGTTTCAGATCACCTGGTTAAGTCAGGGTAGTCTCTTGCCATGCTTCCTATTTTTCCTATGCAGTGGGATAGTTTGCTCTTGTGTCCTTAACATCTCTTTGAAAAACTGCCAACTCTCCAACTGTTTTTCTCCTTAGACTTGCTTCCCATGGGCTCTTACCTACGAACTTCCTGAGTTTGCTAGTCAGCCTTCTTGAAATCCATTATCTTTGTTCTGCTGTTTTCCCTTCTACTATTCCTTAGAATCATGAACTCTATCATTTCATGATTACTTTCACTTAAGCTGCCTTCCACTTTCAAATTCTCAACCAGTTCCTCCCTATTTGTCAAAATCAAATCTAGAACAGCCTCTCTCCTAGTAGCTTTCTCCACCTTCTGAAATAAAAAATTGACTCCAATAATCTGTGCACTGCTGTATTTTTTCCCAGCAGATGTCTGAGCATCAAGTCATGTGCTTTGTTCTTGTGTCCCCATTGGTGCTTAACTTAACTCCCTGGTATTTATCTCTCTGATGTATTTATGGAGAGCAATCATATCTTTCCTCAGCCTTAGTTTGGATAGGCTAAACAAGCCAAGCTCCTTGAGTCTCCTCTTGTAAGGTAGGTTTTCCATTCCTCTGGTCATCCCAGTAGCCCTTCTCTGCACTTGTTCCAGTTTGAGTTCCTCTCTCGGTCTTCGTGGTATGTATGAGAATAGGAGACAATCTCAGCAGAGCTCTGAGTAAGGGGCCCAACCCTGAGAGTTGGTTCCTTTGTGTCAGCTGTTGCTGAATGTGCTATATCTGTTCTGCCGATAGATCAAGGATTTGTGTTTCTAGAACTCTCCATCTGTCCTTCTTTTCCCAGTACTAAATTCATACACATTTTTAAATCACACACATTTTTGCTAGATAGAAAATGACAAACTGGTAGACAGAGTTGTATTGTATTGTAAAAAGTTGTAGGCAGTGTTGAATGAAATTGACACTGTACTACTTATTTGATGGCAGAGATATCCTGGAGTGAGTAGTCTGTGCTCCCTCTGCTGTTTGGCAGCCCATGGAAAAGCAGAACAAAAGAACTGTACAGAGTGTGAGTGGTTAGCAGTTGTATCACCAAAGAAGTGACAGTTTTCTTGAGTATTTTGTAACTTAAGTTCTCTAACATCTCCTGCCCTTCTCCCTTTGCATTGGAACTCTTGCAGTGAAATATTCTGGGTACCTGGAATACGTGGATAAGCCCTTTGACACAAACTGGTACAGGAGGAATCCTAGGCTGATGAAACTTGGAGAAGGTAAATCGAGACTGAAGAACTAGTACTGAAGGTACAAGGCTATAAGGACCCTGCCCCTTCTACAGCCCTCTGGCTCTGGCTGTGTTAATACCTTAAAGCCTGGTAGAGGTTTTGTGCTTTCATAATGTCATATGTTCTAAGGGTTGGCATTACGGTTTGTGGGATTACAAGCTACCAATGCGCCTTTGCCTCCTGCTTCCAGGCGTGGGGGAAGGGATGACTGAGAGCTGTTTTCCCCTCCTGGAAATGGGTCCAGAGGGGACAATGTAAGCTACCTGTGAGTTGTAGAATTTGGCTGTATTTTGCTTAACACATGAGCCTTGCAGCTTATGCTATATTTTAAACACTCTTTACATTCCAAAGCTGGAGGCAGAGAACATAAGAACGGCCATATTGGGTCAGACCAAAGGTCCATCTAGCCCAATATCCTGTCTTCTGACAGCAGCCAATGCCAGGTGCCCCAGAGGGAATGAACAGAACAGGTAATCGTCAAGTGATCCATTCCCTGTCTCCCATTCCCAGCTTCTGGCAAACAGAGGCTAGGCCTAGGGACACCATCCCTGCCCATCCTGGCTAATAGCCATTGATGGACCTATCCTCCATGAACTTATCTAGTTCTTTTTTGAACCCTGTTATAATCTTTTCCTTCACAACACCCTCTGGCAAGGGGTTCCACAGGTTGACTGTGCTGCGTGTGAAAAAATACTTCCTTTTGTTTGTTTTAAACCTGCTGCCTTTAAATTTCATTTGGTGACCCCTAGTTCTTGTATTATGAGAAGGAGTAAATAACACTTCCTTATGTACTTTCTCCACACCAGTTGTGATTTTATAGACCTCTATCATATCCCCCCTTAGTCGTCTCTTTTCCAAGCTGGAAAGTCCCAGTCTTATTAATTGCTGCTCATACGGAAGCCGTTCCCAACCCCCTAATCATTTTTGTTGACCTTTTCTGAACCTTTTTCAATTCCATTATATCTTTTTTTGAGATGGGGCGACCACATTTGCACACAGTATTCAAGATGTGGGCGAACCATGGATTTATATAGAGGAAATGTGATATTTTCTGTCTTATTATCTATCCCTTTCTTAATGCTTCCCAACATTCTGTTTGCTTTTTTGACTGCCGCTGCACACTGAGCGGATGTTTTCAGAGAACTATCCACCATGACTCCAAGATCTTTCTTGAGTCGTAACAGCTAATTTAGACCCCATCATTTTATAAGTATAGTTGGGATTATGTTTTCCAATGTGCATTACTTTGCATTTATCAACATTGAGACTGAATACTGGTGTCTGCCAGGCTCCTGGAATATGGGGGGATCATTTTTGTGATCCAGGGTGCATGCTGTGCTGCTGGATGTGTATAAAATTGCCATTGCTGGTTAAGAATTGGCAGTCCTAAATGCTGATAATTGGAAAAGCTAAAGCTTGCAAACCAGGTTTTAAGAGACATCGGTCCTTCAGGTTAAGGATTTTGAGGCCCACTTCTTAAAAATTCCACTTCTTGTTTTGCCAGAGATCACACTTCAGGGCATGGAGGTTGGCCTACTGACCATGAAGAAAGGAGAGTCGTCAAGATTTCTCTTCACACCAAGTTATGCCTATGGGGCATTGGGCTGTCCTCCTTTGATTCCCCCTAATGCCACAGTCTTGTTTGAGATGGAGCTTCTGGACTTTCTAGACTCGGCTGAATGTGACAAATTCTTTGTTTTGACGACTGTGAGTTAGTTACACAAGTAGCTTTGAGCCATACACACCGAATTTTAAGTCTTTGTTCTTTGCTGTCTTCCTTGTTATGTATGCCCGTTGCTGCAGTAATAGGATGATGTCCGATACTCTTGTTCAAAATAGCTTCCGGCGAATAGCACCTGTAGTACATTTTTGTGAAGGGGCTTGATGTCCTTGTTCATGCCTCTACCTACGTACTTGTAAAACGACAGCTTGCACCACACTGCACCATATCTCGCTCCTTGCAGTGCCCCATGTTCCAGGCCCTGTAGCTTGCAAAGAAAATAAAGCAGGCAGAGATGCTTAATATGACTTAAAAAATGCTGTTCCAGCCCAGTGAAGTCAATGGGGCTACATCTGTTTACAACCAGTTGAAGGTTTGGCCCTAAAATCTTCCAGATTTCCCTCACAGTTGAAACTTCCCCCCTTCCCAGCCTGTGTCAAGAACATTTCAAAGTGTAAATTAAAGAAAATAGATTCTTGGGAGAAGCATTAAAGCAAACTGAAGCTGTAGTTCTTAAAACTGCTTTGCATGTTTGCAAATAAACATGTTTGCTTATTCGTACCGTAACTCAGAGTGTAATCCAGGGGAGAAGCTAGTCAGCTGCGCATTTCTAGCGAGTCCTACAAGAATCTTGGAGTGTAGCTCCCTCTAGTGGAACTGAATTTATGTAGAACAGCTCAAGGCCCACGTAGTACATTCTTATCAATGTTTGTTAGGTTGGGGAGGGTATTTTCTTTGCTCCTGAGCTGACCTTTCCCAGCGTCACTCTTTGGTTGGATGGCTTCCACTCCTAAAGATAGGCCTATTGTTGCTACAGTCCTCCTGTGTCCTTTGTGCAGCTGTTCTTATACCAACGCTGTATGTGTTAGACTTTGAATGTTACTCCCTTGTCTGACCACTTGGAAGTGCAATAGGTACTTGCTACTTGTCTCAGCAGTCCTATTTTGTGTCTACTAATCAGCTGAATTTTGGCTTCTGTACACAGGAGCAGCAGGATACGTTCCCACTACAGCAGGTGCTGAAAGTGGCAAACACAGAGAGGGAGTTTGGCAATTACCTCTTCCGCCAGAAGCACTTCATGGATGCCAGAAAGAGATACAAGCGGGTAATAAAACAAGGATGACAGGGTTATGCAGTCTATAGAAGATAGTAAGTGACAACTAAGCATTAGCTGGAAGCACAAAGTGGAAAACAGTTTAGAGAACAATTACCCTCTAGCATAATACACCTGGGAAACACAGTTAAGTGAAAGTTTTAAATTCTGTTCGAAGTTGATAATTTAAGGACAGTATGAAGCAGCTGTCTTTGTATGCTCAGCCAAGGTATGTGTTGAACAGCAATGAAAGGAAATACAGGTTGGTACTAGTCTGTGAACCTGCTTCCCCCACATTTACACCTTGCCGGTCCCAGTTAGTATCGGCAGGAAACGTACAGATGGGTTGGTGTGCTTGGAATACATCTCAAGTTCTAGAAATGGCTTTGTAGGCTTTGAACAACATTACTTCACTTGCGACCGTCACCTAGCTGGAATCCTCCAGCACAGCTTTCAGCAGAAAGAGGAGAGCCTATCCCTAGAGCATGGCCTTGGGCCAGGAGGGAGCTCTGAGATAAAATTTTCAGAAGTGACTTAGACTCTCAGAACACCAAGATTTATTAAAAGTCTAGTCCCTCTAAATCACTGAAGTGCTTTTGAAAATTGTACTCGTAGTCTCCCAACAAGGAAATGTTACCCCATCCCCTGTTGCTGGGAGACTTTATCTTTTTGTTTCTAATGCCACAAGCTGTGCTCCCACTCCCAGTCTTTAGCTAGGACATGAGTGTTTGTGTCTTACAGAAATTTTGTTTCTGTTGAGGATACCTTCTCTACCGCCACTTTTGCCTGTGCGGGGATGTACTTAAGTGAAATTTCTGTGGATGGTTTCCTCTTCTACCCACACTTCTAAAATGTGTGAGATTTTCCTTTCTGCATATTAGAAAAAACAGCAATTCCAAACAACCTATGTAGCATTCACAGTGAGCTAGGCACTTCAAAATCAAAACCAGAAACCAGGTCCCTGGTCTAATCTCAGTCAGCAAGGAGCGGAAGAGGTATGCTGTGCCACAACTGCAAATGACTGAGCTGATTGGTCATGTTCAGGATGCATCCTGCAAATTCTATTTTTTGGCTTTTTATCTGAAATCTGTTTCAAAGGTGGTTAAGTTGATGTGTCTCTCTCTAGATCAGTGGTCAGATAAAGTCCTCAATTTTCCACAAACGTATGCACCATGCATTATTTCTATGGTTTTTTTAATCCCATCTGCCCAGGCCTCTTTGATCCTGTGTCGCAGGCCTTCCAGTGGGGATGAGCAGTGCCAGATTGATGCTGCCAAACTGCTTGTGTTCCTGAATCTATCATTTACTTACCTGAAGCTGGAGCGTCCTGTCCGAGCTCTGACATATGGAGAAAAGGCGCTGGAGATCGACGAGAGAAATGCCAAAGCGTTATTCAGGTGTGGCCAGGTGAGCAAAAGTAGATTCCTCTGTTGGGTTAAAAAAACCAGTGTCCAGTGGCACCTTAAAGACTAACAGATTTATTTGGACATAAGCTTTTGTGGGTAAAAAACCCACTTCTTCAGATGCATGGAGTGTCTGTGGGTTAAGAGGTTGCATCAAGCTAAACCCCAGCCTTGCTAGTCTGTGGGGAAGACCTGCAATAGAATAAAATGAGCCGCTCAGAAAATCAGTTAGAAATACTGGACCAGGCTTTCAGATGTGCTGTGTGTCCGCAGCTACCATAATAGTTGGTGGGAGTTGTGCTGAATGCTCATGTCTGAAAACCTGGCCCTTTGCAAATACATTGCATAGCTCCGTTTTTTCATGGATTCAGACAGTTGTTTAGGAATTACTTATTTCCAAAACTTGAAACATGTACATCTCTACCTCGATATAACGCTGTCCTCGGGAGCCAAAAAATCTTACCGCGTTATAGGTGAAACCGCATTATATCGAACTTGCTTTGATCCCCCAGAGTGCGCAGCCCCGCCCCCCCGGAGCACTGCTTTACCGTGTTATGTCGGGTCGTGTTATGTCGGGGTAGAGGTGTATTCCCATAAAGTAATCCTGAAGAGCTACTGTGAGTAGATATTTATTCTCTAATTCTTGTCCTTCTTTCAATGACAGGCTTGTCTCTCTCTGACAGAATATGAAAAAGCTCGGGATTTCCTTGTCAGAGCTCAAAAAGAACAGCCCTTTAACCACGATATTAACAATGAGCTGAAAAAGCTGGCCAGGTGAGAGAACTCCTTTTCGCTATTGTGAGAGGTGGGGGAGAGATTGCTTAGGTGGACAAAAAAATACACACTTCAATACCTTCCACAAGGCAAATAACTGTCTAGAAATTCTCTCTAGAATGTGTTAAAAGAAAGAGCGAGCAGATTAGCTTTTGTAAAGATTAAATCAGCAAATGGTTGAGCTCTGGAAACACAAGTCTTTAAAAAGGGGGGGGGGGATTTAGTTTGATTAATTTGCAGATGCAATACTTCAGAGTGACTCGTGAGTACATGACAGAGATCCACTGTTTCCATACAATTGCTCTGGGGGGAATATCTCTGTTGCAGCTGCTATACACTTCACTCGAGTGGGTAGGGCAGGCTGTTGATGACAGGCTAGGCTGGGAGTGCTGAAATATCTTGACATCAATAAAATATTGTACATTAGAGTTCACTTCGAGAAGGTCCTGTTTCCTTTAAGATGTGTTGGTTGACTTCCCCTGCTTTTCCACTATTGAGGATGATACTTACCACTTACAGCACTGTCCAGATCTCCCCGCAAATCAGTTAGTGTTTGCAAAGCAAATTTCATGCTGCCTTGGTGATGATAAATCAACAGTCTTGGAGAAATAAACTTTGTTTGCCCCCAGAAGAAGTACAACACAAGCAGTCGCAGCACAGTCTTCCCTACCAATGTGCTTGGTCACGTTTTCATGAGACCAACTCTAGTGTCCCCATTGCATTCTGTTCTTGTCGTCTTGGGGAAATACCAACAAAGGAGCTGTTCGTGCCAGTTATGTTGCAAACACTTTTGGGAACTATGCAATGAGGACCTCAGAGCTACAGCGAGGTCACCAACTCACTTTAGGTCGGCATCAGAACAGCCATTGGGTCGAACTAACCAGTTTCATTCTGGTCAGCCCAGGTCCGCTCCAGGCCAAGTCTGTAATGGCAGAGGTGAAAGCTTACCTCTTCGCTGCCCTGCATATGTCAGGACATTCCACTCTTCAGCTCTCTGGCATGACAACGTCTTGCCTTGGTTGAAGTGCTTGCAGTGTGGGTATTGCCTGGCCCTTTCGCAAACCTCTAGTTCTTTGCCCTGCCCATGAATTAGACTAGAGAAAATACAGAGCAAAGGAAGTGAAGTGGACCTGGTGTTATGAGAGACCAGGAGCATTATTTCTGTGCCCTTCGAGAAGGCAGAAGAAGAGAGAAGTAAAGGGATGGGAAATGATGCCCCCCATTGAGGCGTGGGCTTGAATGTTCCTTTCTCCAGTTGTGGAAAGTTGCATTACGAGTGTGGGTGAAAGGCTCTATTTCTCAGACCTCAGTTTTGTGCTGTTAATCTGTTTGTAAATTGTAATCAGGTTGTAAGTTGCAGCCTGCTTTACAGAGGGCAGTGGATGTTGATGAGATATTATGAAATATGATGTTCAGCATCTTAATCTGTCAATTATATATCTAAATCCCAAGGGGCTAAATGCATTACAAACACAGCTAAACAAGCAGTAATTATAAAATGATTCTGGATGACTAGGTGGTTAGCCTATTAGATTCAGGACTAGATTTTGGATCCAGTCTTATAGCTTGTGTACTGATCTGTACTGTACTAGGATGCCCAAGAAGTCATTGATTCTGGGTAGCTTCATGTAAGATCTTATATACAGTTTAGACCGTCTAAGTTTTCGTCAAGACTCTTGATGATAGATAGATATAGGGTCTAATTCTGACCAATATAAGGTGTGTGTGGCTCTCTTGACTTTTATGGGCTAATCCTAATCTTTTTCTTAGGTGTGAGCTGAGCAAAATAAAACCCATCAGATATAAAATATTTCTAAACCACAGACAACTAACAAGGTGCTCTAGAGTCCAGGTTGAATTCAGGTTTGTCGTCTTCTCTCCCTTTTGTCTTTGGGTGCTGCAGCATGTGCAACTTAAAAAGCATACACCCTGGAACTTGAGCACAATGGAGGAGCTGGCTAAGAGAATGTCAGTTTGCAGTTTCTGCTTCTGTGGGTTGGTGTCAGAAATTAAAATTGGCATTATCATCTTTTTTTTTTTTTTGCACTTTACTAATCTAAAAAAAAATTAATGTACAATAGAAGAAAACAATGTTTTCAGGCTGAATGTGAGGTAACTGGCTAAATCTGTTTAGCTTTGTCAAATTGGCACACCTCTAGGGCTCCTTGATGTGATCTGGGAAAAACTACAAAAGATGGAGTATAAGTGATCTCTCTCCTGCCATCCATCTCCACCCTCTGACAAACAGAGGCTAGGGACACCATTCCTTACCTGTCCTGGCTAATAGCCATTAATGGACTTAACCTCCATGAATTTATCTAGTTCTCTTTTAAGGCTAGGACTATAACAGGGTTTCACAACCTCCTCAGGCAAGGAGTTCCCCAGGTTGACTGTGCGCTATGTGAAGAAGAACTTCCTTTTATTTGTTTTAAACCTGCTGCCCATTAATTTCATTTGGTGGCCCCTAGTTCTTATGTTATGGGAACAAGTAAATAACTTTTCCTTATTCACTTTCTCCACACCACTCATGATTTTATTAATCCAAAACAATCCATACCAGCTGAAGGAGACTTTCTGTGTTTAGAATCATAGAATATTAGGGTTGGACGAGACCTCTGGAGGTCATCTAGCTCAACCCCCTGCTCAAAGCAGGACCGACACTAACTAAATCATTCCATCGTTTGGTGGAGCTCTGTTCTCCAGCACTTCTTAAAATAATACCTAGCTCTCAAAAGGTTTTCGACTTGCCTATTTAAGTTGTTTTTGAAAAACAGAGTATATTGATTAGTAATACCCAGCTCTTTTATAGTTCTTGTAATCCATAGAGCTCATTCAATAACTGGATTTCACTGTTTAACAGAGTATTGAAAAACCACAGCTAAAACCATAATTCAGCTGTGTCAAAAGTCAAATTGTGATGGAAAATCTAAGCTTGTTCTCAGTGGGGCTAATGTAGGCAAGATCCCACCAAAGCATGATTTTTTTGGAGGTTACAGAGCCATTAGAAATGCTGCCAAACGCATTTGGTGCTTATGAGCACAGCTTTTGTTAGCTGTGGTAAGTTCCCCATTTTGTTGGGTTGTGATGGCTTTCGTGATGTGAACAAGTGTCATCTAGACTGACTTTTGCTTTCACGTGGACTCTACTTGGATCTCTAAAGGTAAAATGTTTGAACCTACTATGCCACCTAGATGTGTCCTCCCTGTTTTACCTACGTTTCCAAAACTGAAAGAATAAGGTTGTTTCTTATGGTGAGATTTGTGTCTGGAGTGTAGAGGTGTATTTTACTTGGTGGTAGTTATGGCTCAAAAAAGACTTGGTCTTGGATACCTCCAACTCTGCAACATAATTCTGTTTGTATAGGATCAAAAATCACGTTTTTAGTACAGTCGAAAAGGTAATAAGTCTGTCTGTGTTGAGCCATTTACACCCGTGATCTTGTCCTGGTATAGCCCTGTTCAGAGCAGTTCTTCCCTCCGTATCGGTGTACATATTGGTTTAGCTGTCGAAATAGCCATCCTGTAACAATGTGCCCGATTTTGCAGCTGTTACAGGGACTACATGGATAAGGAGAAGGAAATGTGCTGCCGAATGTTTGCTCCTCTCAGCTTTTCTCCTGTGGAACCAGAAATAAAGGTAACAAACAAACAGTCAAGAGGAGCATGTGGGTTGAAACAGGTTTGTTTCTTTTCAGATCTTCATGTCTTGCCTGGGCTTGTATTCACTGGCAACCACAAAACTGCTGAACATAATTTCTCTCCTCTGCCTGAAAGCTGCAGAGGAAGAACCTAACGTAGGAATGTTTGTAGTGGAGTGTGGCAGTAAGGTATTGTCCAACCCTAACTTCTGGACCTGTAAAATGTTGTCTACACTTTGTAGGATGACCATATTTCCCTGTGCTGAATACGGGACACCTGGTAAAATTACTCATATTCAAGCGAGTTCAACGGCAATCAGTCAGAACTAGGCAGTACAAACGTTGAAATTAACATCAAGTTGACTGAGCCCCTGTTAAAAAGAAATACTGCCTAGCTGGATTCTTTTTATTTCCCTTCTTATCTTTAGGGCTTTAGGGTTCACATAGGGAGGGGTGACACACACCCCCATCCTGTCTCCCCCCCCAATACACACAGGGAGAGGTCTCTCACACACACTAAGGCTTGGTCTACACTTACCCCCCAATTCGAACTAAGGTACGCAACTTCAGCTACGTGAATAACGTAGCTGAAGTCGACGTACCTTAGTTCGAACTTACCTCGGTCCACACGCGGCAGGCAGGCTCCCCCGTCGACGCCGCGGTACTCCTCTCGTCTATCTGGAGTACCGCAGTCGACGGCGATCACTTCCTGGTTCGACTTATCGCGTCCAGACAAGACGCGATAAGTCGAACCCAGAACTTTGATTCCCAGCCGCCGAACTAGCGGCTGGGTGTAGACATACCCACACACACACACACACACTCACTCACTCACTCCTGTACACCTCTCTCACATGGTGGGGGAGTGACCAACCGACCCAGCCTTCCCTGCTCGGTGCTCTCCGCCCTCCATGCCTGACTGGCCCCCTGGACAGACCCACCTCTCCTGGTGCCTTGTCTTCCCAAGGCAACACGTGGGGTAGGGTGGGGGGAGATGCAGGGTCACATCCCTCCCCCCTCCCAGATTTCTGCCAGGGTTCACACCAGAATGTGGCGAGCAGCAGCCTTTCAGCTCTGTGCAGGAGGGATGGGAGCTGCTTCCAACCACAGGGGAGGAGGCAGGGGAAGGGATGACCTGGCTTGTGTCTTTGCAGAGCTCATCTCGTCTCCTCCCGTGTGGCTGGAAGCAGCTTGTCCCTTTCTGCCCGCACAGTGTCGAAAGGCAGCTAACACCTTCAGGCTGCTGCTGGCCACTGACATAACCCCGGCTACAGCGTGGGCAGGAAGAGGTTAAGCCCTAAAGATGCGTTGTGCACCAGAGCCCAGGGAACCTGATTGCAGAGGCTTCAAGGAACCCGGCCAGAGAGGCGGCTCAGTAGGGGAGGGTGCCCAGGGGACGGAGCAGCCCGGCGCTCCCTGGGGGAAGGACCCAGAGTGGGGGAGGAGGGCAAAGAGGGTGCTAAGCCCCTGCCCCGGGGGCTGCTGTAGAGCCTGCAGGTTCAGGGCGTGAACAGGCTGGAAATCGCTTTCTCCCCCCTCCCCCCCACTCCAGAGCTTAGTTGAGAAGCTTCCCCGTGCCGGCGCTGTGTGGGGCTTTGGCACATGCAGGGCTTGGCTTCTCCCGGCTAGTGCCCTGGGCCAGCGGGTATTGGGCTTTCCCGGGGCGCCAGCCCAGCCAGGCTGTTGGTGAGCTGAGCACTCCAACCGGGCTGGTTCTCCGCACAACGCTGGGAGTGGGACGTGCCCCGCTGGGGGAGATATGGAGGAGCAGCGCGGGGGGGAAAGGGCAAAGCAGAGAGAGGACAGCAAGAGTGGGAGCACATAAAGGGCTGATGGGTGGGCAGCAGAGGCGACATGTAACCGGCCACCTGGTGCCTGCCCACACTCACCAGCCACCACGGCTCGCAGCCAGCGCCGGCCGGAAATGGGACGAGGGGTGGGGCCCTGCTGGCTGAGAGCCGGCATGCAGTGAGGGCTGCGCTAATGGACCAGCCGGGGGAGTGGCCGGCCCCGCACGCTGCATCTTCGTCCCGCCACCAGCCTTTCACACCCACCCTGGACCCCACTCACCGCTGGCGGGTGGGCATCTGACTAGCAGGGATCCGGCCAGCAGCAGGACCCGCCAGTACTGATGGGAGGGGGAGACAGAAAATACAGGACAATTTGCCTGTGGTGTGTTTTTTTTAAAGAAAAAGTCGTGACACTTTCAGGAGGGCTTAAATATGGCACTGTCCCTTTAAAAACGGAACATCTGGTCACTAAGGCCTGGTCTACACTAACACCCCAATTCGATCTAAGGTACGCAACTTCAGCTACGTGAATAACGTAGCTGAAGTCGACATACCTTAGTTCGAATTTACCGCGGTTCAGACGCGGTCCACACGCGGCAGGCAGGCTCCCCCGTCGACTCCGCGGTACTCCTCTCGCTGAGGTGGAGTACCGCAGTCGACGGCGAGCACTTCCTGGTTCGAATTATCGCGTCCAGACCAGACGCGATAAATCGAACCCGGAAGTTCGATTGCCAGCCGTCGAACTACCGCGGTAGTGTAGACATACCCTAACGCTTTGAGGAAAGATGTGTTCTCAGAGGAGAGTTATCAGGTGGGCAGTCTAGCAGCAGATCAGTGGGTTAGGAAATCCCTAAATTGGCAACAAGAACACCTTCAGTGACTCATTCTTCCCCTTACAACCCCGCCACCCCCACTTTCTTCCTGCCTGATCACCACAGCAAAGGCAAGTTCCAGAGAAAGCTATGTGTGCCCTGCCTTATAAGAGAAAATCGCTTCAGAGGGTCAATCTGGAGTTCTGCTTCATGCTATTGAGACGGTGGCCGTATGTCTTATCACAGTGGCTGAGGATGCAGGGACATGGCTTCAGAATATTGGGATTGGCTCTCCCTAGGCTGTGGTGCGTTAATGGTATGTGCTTTAGCGAAAGTGAAGTTTGGAAGGCTTTCAGAATTCTGAGATTGGTCTTTTGCTGTATAGGTGAGAAATTCTGCTCTTTGAGTTGGATGTGTATCCCGATTGCAATATTTGAACTGGTGCTAAGAACTTGGAACAGGGGTTTTTTGATACCACTAAACCTTTCCTGTGAGCAAATCCATCAACTTCTTCCAATCATAGGTGCTTCTATTCTAAGGCCACGGAAGGATTGGCCTGCGGGAAATAAAGGGCTATATCAGTCAAATGACTATATGAAGGTCATAAAAACAGAAACCTTCATATATGGTCTGATCTTGGCTGAGATACCCTGACCTGCGTATCTCCAAAATGTGGCTGGGGAACTCTGCCAGCCCTATGCTCTCAGCTCAGATATGCTCCAAGGCTGGTAAATAAGGCATGTCTCTAGGGTTTGCATCTGAGGCCATGCAAGAGAGCCACACTCTTAAATCAAAATCCTTCTGAGTGTACATGCTGGAGTACCAGTCCCGAATGGCAACAGGAGATGTGCCCATCAAGCGTAACTACCAACTTCCACCTGGAACTGAAGGAGCTTAAGTCAAACTCGACAGTGGAGTCCACTGCACTCAAAAGAACCAGCTCCACCCTTATAAAGCCGGCTGAATCAGCTGGCCAATAATCTCTGCTTCCCAGGAGCAATCATGGCTTACATCCAGACTAGTAGCGTCGGACAGTCACACGCTGGGTCTAGTCTGCAGTGAGTAGAGATGTAGCAGTCAGCTTCTTATCCTAATCCATAATCAACTCCAGGTTCAATTTAGAAACTTCTCCAGCCCCACTCCCAATCCGATCTATTAGCAGCTAAATAAATAGACCTGTCCACAAAGACTGATCGACCTCATAGGCTTCCAAAACTGCACAGCAGGGAAGTCCTCCTCCCTCGGGATCAATGGCCCTGTTCCATTTCACTGCCCGCACAGGTCACCATGGTTCTATGATCAATTCTGCTGAGGCTGAAGTGTCAGTACGAAGACCCTCTATGCAGGCAGAATGCTGCAGATCTCCTCTGTGATCATAGCATCTGCCAGAGCCCAACCAAAGGAACCGTTCTGACTTCTAGGCCTAATAAACCCAGACTGCCTACTGATAAGCACAGGAGTGCTCCTCTTTTGCTGACAGAACTGTGAGAATCTGATAACCTTTGGGTCCTGAGAGAATAACATTGGAGCAGAAAACAGCATTCCACCATCCACTTTGAGAACTGAGCTTAGTTCCACACGTGGGACTGACAAGTCCATGCCACTGTTGTGGTGGTTAGGGGGCATCTCAGACCCAGCAAGGGAAAAGATGTTGATAAAAAACCTGGCATGCTTCTATAATATTTAAGCAATTAAGTGTGGTCTGGTGTTTTGTGTCTGCACTGGCATTATTCCCATTGTAATCATCCTAAATCTTCTCAACCCCTTACTAAGCACACACAAAAAGGAAAACAGTTAAATGCTTTAAAACTTAAAGAATTAAGGCATTTATTTTAACTGTTTTCCATATTCACTTTCACTGTACAGAATCTCTTTTGGGGGGGAAGTCACTGCTTGATGGTCTCTTTAAATGATTTGATCTGTTCTTTTTTTGGAAGTGGAAGAAAGTTATTTTAAATGTTGCTGTTGAAGTCCAATCCTGTTTGTCTTAATAGAAACACAGGGAGAAAGAAAGGTTAACAAAAGATACATTATCTGTCTTCTGTCTCTGCTTATTTTCACTTGCAACCTAGCTGCTGGAGAGAAACATGCTGCTGTTCGCTATTCTGAGATCTGGCAAACTGAACCAACATTGCGCTGTTGGAGGTATTGCTTTCTGGTCACAGGCGCATAGCAGTGTTGCAAAAAGTGGAGTTGTCTTGGCCAGTTAAGCCAGGCTCTTGTTAGACGGGGCAAAAAGAGAGACCTCCTTGTCCTTCCTCTTCTATGGGGAGGGTTTAACAGCAGAACCGTAGGGTCACATTCCAGATGTTCAGGATCTTGACATACAGGTGGGTATGTCATCGGGTTCCCTCTCTGGCTTGCTTTGGTCAGGCCAGTGGAAGCCCGGTGGATCCC